GTATACACGTATACATGTAACGTGGTATATATGTCTTTATAATTATAAACGCAAAGCCATTCTGCGGCATTTCTGACATAGATACCTGTGTAGGCTTAAAATTCTTAAACATTACGGCGAGAAAATCTGCGAGCGTGGAAAAAATTCTCTATGGATTCGAACTCGGGTTTTTTGTTTGTTATGCATACACCTTAAGCCACCTGGGGATTCGTATGGATTCAAATCCGATTGGAAGTTGTGTTAAAGTTAGTAAATATACACTTTAGGTTTAAAACAATATCAAACAATAAATCAGAAATAATTCCCTAAGCCGGATAGTGCTATAACTTATTTATTTGTTTAGACAGACAAAACTTACAATTTTTATTTAGCCTTTTCTGATAGAGTTAAGCCATTATCAAACACAGCAATAAAATCAAACATTATTTGTTTAGTTATACGGGAGAATATCGGAGTATATGCCGGGATTTACATATTTGGTTGTTGTATGCCGAGGTTAAAATACAATCGTTTTTCTGCAGCGATTGAATCGGCATCAAATAATTGTCATTTTGTTGGATGCACAGTATCTTACCAATTATGATAATACGTCGTCTTGGGGTTTTTGATATAATATGTTGACCTTTCAAGTATACGTGACTCGCGACATTATGCTATTACAATCGCAAACAATAAGAAAACAAATATACTGTATACAGTACGAAAAAAAAATACAGAGAACATACGGTACCATAAATTCGAATGTTTCCACTTCATGAGGTATCCCTCAGGTCTACGTTTCTAAAGTCTGAACAGTTGTGACGCTGCGGAATGATCGTCCGACAGTACACATAAACAGACACACTTAAGTATGGTTTTACCTGAAGCTTAACATGTATCTTTTTACAAACATTCTTAGCTTATGTAAATACTTAGTCGGTATGCTTTTAAGTTTTACTTTTATCATTCAACATGTATGCTTGAATACATAACTTCATCTTCATCGTCTTGAGTTCCCACAATCATCATGCTGATTATCACGGAACTGTAGGAGGTGTAGTGGCAGTCTTGTTGAATTTAATTTAGTTTAAATTAAATTTAAATTAAATTTTGTCTTTCTTTCTCTTTTCCTTTCTTTTCACCTTTAATTATTTTTTCTTCTTTTCCCTTTTTTTCTCTTCCTTTTCCTTTCCTTTTCTTTTTCTCTTTTCTTTCTTTTTTTCTTATCCTATTTCCTCCTTTCTCTTTTTCTGTTCTGTATTTAAACAAATGCAGTGTAACTAAGAAATCTAAGATTGTTGGTGATCAAAATGCACTTTAGATGGGTGAACAACGTATCACAGATGACTTTACGAACTAAGTTCCAACATAGTACCTCGCCTGTAAAGATGCTTAAAACATTAAATCGATCTTTGAGTATTCGTAACGAGTCAGGCTCATTTTGGCTGGGGTTGTATTGTCTCAAGGTCAGTGTCGCTTGCTACACATTTCTACCTTTGTAGAATATTCAACAAAGCGGCTAAGTAAGATAGCTCTTTATTTTCACAAGAAGCGCACGTTCCCATTGTTAATTGAAATCCACTAGAGTGTCTACTTGATTGAAATGGTATAGGGCCTATGTTAAACGTTTTAATAGTGGTCTACTGTCGCCTTATCTCGAAGATATGATTGAACATTAATATCGTGCAATTTTTATATGATTGAACATAAAAATCGTCGAATACTTCATTCTGCTATTCACTGCACAGACGACAAACACTGCTGATATTGCTACTTTACTGACCACTGCAACGCAACGACGCAGACGCAACGTAATGGAATACCGGTACTGTATCCTTCCAAATGTGTCGTATCCCCTTGCTAAAAGTTGCTAGTCATGACTTGCGATGGTGACATCGTCGGCAGTAAACGGAAAACTCTCACGAAAAGTTTACGTTTAGTATTCGTAAGGATCCCTCACTCAGTTGGGACTTGACATCGAGAAGTTGTGCCAAAATATTTCTCGGCAAATACCGGTAAGAAAGCTCTGGGTTCAACTTTTGAGTACAATGTTGTGTCGATTAGGCTTCTTGCGTCGGTTTTGAAGTACAGTGAGGGTGTTGCGACATTGCGTTACGTCTTCGTCCTTGCGTTGCGTATAGAAGGAACCAAGCCTTACATGTGAATTAAAAGTCAAAAGGCCGTTGGGAAAAACTATTATAAATACATAGATTAGAACAAGGCAGGAGAAATGGAGAAAAGCTTAAACGTAGGTCTATGCACAGTTTAGCCAATAGTTGTCCCCTACTGGGGAAATGTGTGCCATATTAGATGACGCAGTGGCTTAGGTATAGGCAGTGCTGCCACTATAAACCACTGGAACCCTGGCTATTAAGGGGGCCGTTCAAAAGAACTAAATATACATTTTGTTTTTAAATTCCTACTTAATAATTTTTAAAACTAATTCTCCGTACGGGCCCCTCTTTAAATGTGTCAGGAAGCTTCCGCTTTAAGCAAATGCATCCCGCCGACACGAGTTACCGATACTTTTCAAACTTGTCGGAACGTGGTAAACTTTTTATTTACTGGTGTATAACTACAATTCGCGAATCCTTGGTTTATATTGTATGCTTACTGTATTGGTTGTGTCTTTATTGTTATGTTATTTTTTTAGACTTCGGTGCTTTGATGTGTTGCTAGGGGTGCTCTCTTTGTATTGTTGTTTTATCCATCGAATTGATGACTTCGCTTGAAAAAGGCGCATTATAAATGCACAATCTATATTAGTATACCTATAAGGCCTATTACTACATTAGTTGATGTAATTCGACAAAGAAAATACTTCATTGTGATTAATAGATACTAATGTTTGAATGTTTTTTGAGAAAAAAAATCTGTAACGGTGAATACAGCTTCCTGTCTTGAGGAAAAACGCGTGTAGGCCTAAACGTCAGAAGGTTGAATCCGGTACAAGTCTTTTAATGTTTGGAAAGAGACAACTGTAAAATATCTTCTATAAAGCAAGTATTTGTGACATAAAATGTAATATAATGTGTCATGGCGGTCTACTTGCTGGCAAGGTGCCTACTCTAGGGTGAATATAGACAATAGACCGTAATAGAGTAATTCCTTTTCCCACAAGTCATCTTAACATTGCCTCGAGTTTTTAAAATTCATGAGAATAGGCTTATATTTGAAAATACTGGTTTCTTTCATTAGAATTACCATGGAGTTACAATAGCTCTATCTAATTAACGTACTGTAAAGCTCATGAACTCTAAAATGCTGTTATAAATATTTCTCTGTATTGTCAGGGATCGCACGCACGTTTTTGTTTAATATTAAAAGTTTGTTAAACTATATTGTTTACGTTTGTTAAGGTGATCATACTTCGTGAATGCCTTTTAGATTTACTTCACTGAAGATAATTCGATGATTGTTCTCTATTATTTTGTCAATTCAGTATACTCTATTTTAAAGCGGAAATTAACCGAATTACAAAATGTTTTGTTTGGTTGTGAAATGTCTGCGGCCGAGTTTCGAAAAGACAAAAAGTGAATTTAGTGCGACAACCAAAATGAAATATTGTGATGCATAGGCCTATATATATTTCATAATCGATAAGTAGGTTTGTTTTTTCCCCCAGAGGTCTCGTACAAAGCCTTCCATTTCAATAGGCTCATTCACTTAACACTAAACTGCATCTTTCATTAACGATGTCGTTATTGTTTTTTGGGGTTTTTTTTCCTTATACCAATCAATTCTTTTACACAAATTACGTTTTTTTGTATCAAGTGGCATCAACCCATGCATAAATTATTGTTGTAACGTTCATTTATTATCTATGTTGATATTGAAACGTTCATTTCTTTCTATTTTTATTCTACACTTTGACAATAATTATGTATCCATTTGTCGTCTGTGTTCCCATTTTAAGTGGCGAATTTTTTATTTGCTGTTGAACTGGATAATAAACAAAAATAAATAAATAAATGTATATAATGTTGAAGCGGGAGATAGTTTTACAATAAATCAGATAGAGGTAAAGATAATGTACATTTAAGTATATGGTATTAAGACATTAACATCGAAAAGGCCTTGCTCCTATGAGAAGGCCAAATATCATTTTCAAATTATGGCCAAGTAAAATAATAATAATAATAATAATAATAATAATAATAATAATAATAATAATTATTATTATTATTATTATTATTATTATTATTATTATATTAATGTATTAATTATATATTTTTTTCTTTTTAGAAAGATGTGTTTTCTAAAGCAGAAGGTCAGTGGCTGAAATATACATTTAAAGAACGTTATCGAATTCATCATGGAACAACACATCCAAGAAAAGGATGTTCCGTTTTATGTGTACTCGACAACAGACACTGTTATTATAACCGTGTTTATGCCTATTGTTTTTGCAATAGGGGTTATTGGTAATTTTGCCGTATGCGCAGTATTTATTCGCATAAAGAGCATGCGCACGGTGACTAACCACTACCTTGTAAACTTAGCATTGGCTGATCTGATTTTTCTTGTGTTTGCTGCTCCCCAAATATGGGTATCATACGCTTCAGGTAAAATACGTCACGATTTCTCTCATGTCGGAGAGTCGTTCTGTAAAGTGTCAATATTCTTTTCCGACGCATGCATCCTCGTGTCTGCTTGTACAATCGTCCTTGTTACCATTGAGAGATATTTCGCCATCTGCATGCCACACAGATTCAAAACCATTAGCACGCGACCACGCGCTGTTGCAACGTGCATCTGCATATGGATCATCATTGGTATTTACAAAACTCCTGCGTTGTACTTCTCCCAGCTCGTGCAACAGGAATTAATTTGGCCAAATGGTAGCCAGTACGATGATTACCCAGATCAAAGAGAAACATGCTTGTATTGTTCCCCAAATAATAGTACTACATGTAACAGATACACCAAGTCACTTGCTACAGACAATTTATTAGTGCTCTCTGTAATACCAATAATCAGTGTTTTGTATACCTTGATAAACATTCAGCTTCATAAATTAGCTAATACCAAGATCGGTGCGTCTTCACACAGAATGAAGACACAAGTTGTGCGCATGCTTATTGTTACAATTTCTGCGTTTTTCATCTGTATTTCGCCTTTTCGAATCATGAATCTTTTCGAAACATTTAACCAAGAACTTATTTACGAAAAATTGCAAGTGGCCTCGTTTATGCTCTGGGCCAATATTGGAAGAGTTCTCCAATATTTAAACGCTGCAATCAATCCTATTATATACAACTTGATGTCAGCCCGATACAGACAAGCTTTTAAGGATTGTTTTTTATGCCGTGTTAATGGACCAGGGATGTTGTCGGAAGTCTCCGGAAGGAATCGAAATAAATATAAAGTAGTTAGTACAAATGCTAGTATGCTGACGAAAAACGAAAACGGGGCCAGTACAGTTGGATAGTAAACATCAACTCTGAAGAAAGCCTATTAACAGCACTTTATCAGCTATTGTCGGATTTTTAAGAAGTAGAAGCATGCCTATTGCTTCCGCATCGATTTCACCATGAAAATGAGAGTTGCATTAGCAAAATACGTCCTCTCATCGTCAAATGGAAATGTACAGTCGGCATAAACAATCACAGTCTATTTCCAAACAACTTAATCATATAAACGATTAACCGACACAAAACTATCATGTCACGGTCTTATTATGAAACTATGTTGAAAAATGCTTTTTCGGATCAGGTGGTAACCTCATTTACCTACTTTCTGCTGTCGCAAACGGTAATATTAATAATTTGTCAATATTATACAGAGCCAAGTTTCTCGGGACTTGACATAATACTACCCCGGCATTTGGATCAAACACATGGAACGCATACTGAGACTACTCCCAAGGGATGCATTACATAATGTTGAAGCTAGTTAGGAAACCGTTGAAACAATAAATATTGGTACATGTTGAATAAGATTTTATGATGTATTTTTGAAAATGAAACATAGATGAAGCGAAGAAAGAAGAAAGTTACTGAAGTCTGTAATTATAGAGGGCGGTAGAATAAAAACAATGTAAGCGATAATGTTTCGAGCTGATGATGCACGTGTTTCAGCTACTTGTGTTTATGATCGTTTTTGCTGGAGAATGAAACAGAATACTATATTTTATGTTTGCTTTGACTTTCTCATCGTTTGATGTGTCTGGTGTCACTGCTGGTCATGTGGTACCGTATAGGAATGTGTGTACAAAGTGTATATATTTAAATTAAACTATAATATTTAAATGTACATTATACCCCGAAAAAAATCACAAGATACAATGACGAAGGTCTCAGTGGCAGATACTGGGGGTGGCAAAATGGGCATTCACTCCCCTCAACCTCCCCCTCACTTCAACCTGCCAGCAGCTAGGTCAAGTTCATAGCCCTGGATGACTTTACAATGTGAAAGAGAACACCTTGAACCCTTCCTATCGGATGATTGATGCTGGCCCCTCTCCATCCCCAGCAAAAATGGTCCTGGATCCGCCACTGCGTCTAGTGTGTGCACCTGTTTCAGGTGAGAATTTTACCTGCATTTGTATCACCTGTATCGTGGTGAAGTGACTTGTATCATGTGACTTTACGCCGGAACTGAAACCAATTGCGCCTGACAAATTGTAAATGTTGTACAGCAGTTAAAGAACTTAATTGCATTTATAATTTTCTAGGGGGATGTACTCTCAATATAATGTTATTATTCCATATTATGTGATGTTATGTTATGCAGTGTCATTTTACTTTACATGGAATAGCCTTACCGGTGAATATTTAACCTATTTTAATCTAATGTAGAGCAATAACACATAGATATATCATCGACATAAATATTCATAATTTTAAAAGGCTAGAGACAAAGATATAATTATTTGTATAGGCCTACTGAAAACTAACTGCTGAAACAATACTTATATCGCAGCTTCGAAGGCAACGGCAGCGTCAATGAGTGGCGTGTTCTGTAGTGGCAATTTAATAAAATAATAAGTATAACGAAATCATTTAAGCATAGACTATCGCATGTACGCGTAGTTAACTTAAATACGGTATCGTTCGAATGTCAGAGGCTCAAATAGCTTCTCAAAAACAATCAATTAATATTTTAACAATGCATCTTTCCAAAGTGTCAATCAAACTTAACAGCTACTGCTGACCAATCAGGTGTTGTTTAAAGATGGGAACTTACTGCGCACAACTTACTGCGCCAACGGATCGTTTTTAATGACGATAAAGTTCAGACTGCTACCGACAATCAGCAGACGGCGTTGCGTCGTCTATCGCTCGCAGGGAGCGGAGTTGGATTCGTCGTGCGACGTTCGTACGACGTCGTACGACGCAGTGAGTGCCCGGCATTACAGTCTGCAATACTGGCATGTCCCACAATATGTAAGTTTACGTACGTTTAAGTAGACCTCTGCTCTGAACATGTAATTAAACATTCGATTCCGGCTATGAATTGACTAAGTAGACCGTAGTTTAATATTAAGTACCATTAGCCTATTATAGAGTTTATGGTAATGATGCAAATGATGATTTGACGGTTTCGACTGGTATTTCTTTACAAGGATCATAATTGTCCTGGCAAAAGGATAAACCTGACCACCATCGGGGATTTACTTATCAGTCTTTGTACGTATCTACTCAGAATTAGATAACGTATTCATTCGAATAAACACCCCGCTTTGATATAATTCCACTTCTCGCATTTGGAATAACGCCCCGGTTCCCCCTAAATGACTGTAAACAAATCTAATGGAAGCAACATCATTCTCAACACATTCTATTAAGCTTCTACTACAGTAGAATTACATTTTGTCTAACCTGGTTGGGATCATTAAATCTTTATGATCACGTATATAACACATTTTGATTTTATTATTATGTGTTCTAGTTCCACATTTACAATAAAATTAAAGGCGTTTATTTGAGTATATACGTATTCATTTTACACCCAAAAAATAAATAAATAAACGCCTCCCTCCAATAAACCCCTCCTCAAACCATTCTCTAAACATTAAACAACTCGGGGCGTTTATTCGAATAAATGCAGTATTGGGTGTTCAAACGTAAGACGAAAAATACTGTAGTATGTCGGCATAATGTAAATTTATATACATATTGATATATCAATCGTACACTAACTACACTAAACTGTAATCACAGATAGGATTAAAGAAAAGCTATTTGTAATCAGTCGAACTGTTGACATTGATTGACTGGCATTTTGATGACGTCATAAATGGTCACCTCTTAACATACACAAAATGTATTGTTGTACCTTGCTTATGAAGCAGATTGGTTAGTCGACTCGGGAGCCTTCCGATTGCGTCGGGAGCTACCGTATGTAATGTAATGATTGCAGTAAAACATTGTAGACAGTTGTAGCTATTTCATGGAAACCAGGCTTACTTTGAGTGACGTAATAAGAACATGCTCGTAGTGCCGTGCGCTGATAAAAATAAAACCGCCTGGCTTCGCCGCCCGTGTAATTATTATTCAATATTCTGTATTTAAACGTAATGGTAATATTTGAAATATAGGCCTATTTTGCATACCAAAAATTTAATAATGTGTGCTCAACAATTGTAAATAATTACGTAAATTCTGTATCATCTGATTATTTTGTGAACAATACGTATGCGTTATAAAAGTATTTTATCTGAAATAATGTTAACCCTAAAGTATATAATTAAACACATGTACAATAAACGGTAAGATAGAAAAGATTTATCATTTATTGTAAGTTAATGTTACGTTATGTTTGTATAGGTCTACGTATAGTTGTGATGTAATAGGCAACATTGTTTACCATACGTATATACAGCAATCCCAATGACACTCAATTTAACTAATATTCTGTCAAGACAGCCTCAATTAAGAGTTACATTGATGCATAACCTCGTTAAGATTGACGTCACTAGAGCTCTGTCAAGTAAGTCCGCTACTCGTCCCTCATCGACCCATCGCTATCTGTAGTACCAGTCCATATCCAGGCCAGTCTTTGTATTTTGTGAAATGTTACTTGTTATTTGGATGCACCACCAAATGGTGTGTGCCACTGATACAAAAGTGTTCAATAAAGTTCGGTTCAGTTCAGTTCAGTCAGCCTGTTGCTAGATCCGCTGCATCAGCCCACGTCTCGTTGACTGCCTGTGTTCAATCGCTTCCCGATCCAGCCCTCAGCTAGATTTCAGTGATGTCGCAACCTGGTCCATCGTTGCTATTGAAGCCCATCCCCGAGCCCATCCAACACAGTAACGACTTCCTAATCTGATCGGCGGTCACTATCTCAAATAAATAGCCCTACCTGCCTACCGGTATCTTTTCTTGCCGGATTTTAGCCATGGCCCACCATCACATCTGTAACACCATATAACACTGTCTATTTCAACAATTTTCCTATCCGACTGCTCGCGATGAAAAATTAGAAGTAGCATGACCCACAATCGTTCTCACTACGGTAGGCCTAGGGATTATGGACTCGCATACCCGTCTACATGATCTACTATCGCGACGGTATCATGGATACCTCAGTCTGCAACGGGGTGTCGATATTTCGTGAATCGTAATAAACCCAGAATTTCCTTAAATTGCAGCGGACATTTCAGAATCTAAAATGCCTATAGTTGTGATAGGCATTTTATGGAATGGAGTTATGAAGTGGAGTTGAATAACGTAGTGTTTAAGATGATTGCCTTCTAAAAGCCCAGGGTCCTGGGTTCAATTTCTGTAACAGGAGGACATTTTCTCACGACTAAAGCAACTCCACTCCCAAGCCTCATAAAGAGATTTCGCTGAATATCAGCCGACATTCTAGAATACGCTGGAAGGGTTAACCTCTATAAATGGTTAAAAAAAAATAATATAGCTATGGTTACGAAATGGTCGCGGTATAATTTCGGAATTTCGTGGTTACGAAATGTCTGCCACCCGTTTAAAACACAATTCCCGATCCGACCCTCGGGCACAGACTTTAGTAATGAAGCATCCCAACCCGTCATCGTCATGGTGGGTAGGCCAATTTGTAACACCACCTCGTTCGATGGGTTTCCGATCCGACCAGTGGTCTCGACTGTCATTGCTCAGCGATAAAGAGTCAAAAAGTTACTTGAACCGCTATTGCTCAGCTATTGTGGCGGATAGAGATGAATATCTTGTGGTTAATATGCTTGTTCTCCAATCCCAGAGTCCTGGGTTCAATTTTTGTCATGAAGGTAACAGAATTTTTTGTCAGGACCAAAATAATTAACTCCATTCCCTAACACTCATAATAAGACTTAGTCATGTAGAGCATCTTGTGTATGTTTTCTTATTGTGATGGGGTTACCACTTTGAAGTGATAAGGTTCACTGTTTGGCATATCCCTGGCCCTACTGCCAAAGCTGAATAAAATTTAAAAATAAAAGACGGTAATTGCATACCCCTCTTGTAATATCGCACGCCTGGTTTAACGATTTCATAACCCGACCGGGGTTTCAAAGCTCATGTCCCCAATGATCATTGGTAACAGAAACTGTACTATGTGATTTTATTGAAGACGACTGAATTAAGAGCCTGATGTTCTAAAAAAAGGTACAGTACACTTAAAGTTCGGAAATACATAGCGTGCGTTTTCTCTAAACAGCACGATCCTACGAATAAAACCACGATGTTACGCCATGACACACGTTCGTTAGTCTTGGCCACGAACGTGTTGTCAAACGTGGCTACTACGGAAAACCGTTTTGCAATTCTTTATGCTATCCGCTCTGGCAACTACAGGTATTCATAGCTTGATTACCTTCTAGTAATGGGACCTATCAGTCATCCCTGGTAGCATTTGACATACACACCTCGAGATACATCATGACTTTATTACGTATAAAAGGTACTTAGCAACGAGCCGATATCTTCGGTCGCACTAACCTGGCCGAAGCCATAATCAACACGTTTAATATCCTAATAATTCCAATTGACATTCTTTGCTCTTGGGAAGAAAAAAAAATCACGGTATCGGATGGCCATTTGAATTGAACTTCCATATAACTAGGTCAGAAAACATTTCATAGCATGAAAAAAAAGCTATCATTTAATTTAATGGGCCTACAGTGCATAATCGTTTCTGTATTGGCCTAGAATCTTGGTGCAAAGCAAAAGTATTTATCGAAAAATATTGGAATTCCAAGTGCAATGTGATATAGATTATGAATTCATGTTCTTTTCCACACTGAAAATAAAATATTACATATCCTTTAGCTGTGTTCATAGAATTGTCATTTTTTTAAAAATAAAATAAACAATATATTATTTAAGATTCCTGAATACATTATGAAGTTATGAAATCACATTGTGTGAAGTGAATCTGTACATTCTCACTTTATTTATAGTTGTTAAAATAGATATAAAAGTATGAGTTTTGAAGATTTGTTCAATTAATGTAACAGGCAAATAGGCCTTATAGTTTATTGCTATATATAGAATCGTCGTATAATAAATTGTTTATTTTGTCGAAAGGTCAGTGATAAAATAAAGAAAAAGTGTATAGTTTAAAGGTTTTTAGTGGCTATATATTTTTTATATTGTCCGTGATTACTTGAACAATATTCCATCAAAATGGAATGCCTACAAAACGGATTGATTACTGCAATCATCATAGGCCCTGTTATTATACTAATCACCTAAAAAGTGTATTACATAAACACCATTTCCAAGGAAATATCTTTTATGAAAATAACGATAGAAGCACAAGCATATATTCAGCAGCAGTACACAATGGATATAGCCTTCTTCAGCAGTGATTGAGTTCGCTTTTGACAACCCCTGGCATTTGAATCTTATTTTAGCATTCACATAAGGCCTAAATTGTTATCATATGCTTCATCTTGTAATTTCTGAAATTGAGTAAATTATTCACACCTTCATATTTGACGGTATCGACAATATAAAGAGAGCGGATTAGTACAGTTATAAGGATGACCTGTCAATGCTGTTCCTGTTTGTTACCTTGGGTAAGACACTTAATTACTTCAGATGGAACGTTAAGCCGGAGGTTCTGCGTGTGTAATAGTCATACACATGAAAATATGGTCACTGCATACATACATATATAAAAACAAAAACAAAAGGTTCAACAGTAGGTTTGATATTTTATTACTATTTAGTTTCGTTAAATCTGTCTCTTATACACATCTAGATGTGTATAAGAGACAGATATAACATACAGTACCTCAAATATGTAAAGAAACAGGTTTGCATTAAGAGAAAATAATTGTGTAACCTCCTGCTCTCCCTCTCCCCCATCAATCAACTACAGGTCTCAAACCATTGTTTGCAACTCATGACAAATCTTAAATTAGGCCATAGATCACTAAAATGGCCTCAGAAATGAATAATTATAAAAGAAGAAAAAACAGAACTAGACCTAGTTGGATTACTTTGCAGATTTGAGTAACTTTAGATACCACTTTCATTTCAAAACTGAATTGAAAAAATAATATATTTTACTCGCCAATTAACAGAATAAGTATAAATAATACAGTTTCTATATCCGTTGATGACCCTTTGGCCTTTAATTAATTAAAATTTTTTATTGTAGAGTCTGTAAATCAGCGAAAACAAAATGGTTTCGTTCAGTCTCTGAAGTCGAAAATTTATCTGATCCTCTTATATGATCAATTCAACGTTTTATTAAAAGTTTTAAGGAGTTTTCACTTGCGCTTTACGTGGTGACGGTCAGTCTCTTTAAGTCTTTATGATACGCACTGCCCACGAACCTAATCGTTTAAAACATTAAAAGAGTCGATATTACTCGCAAATTTAAGAACTATTATTACTTGGCCGTAAGATTGTTAATGCAGACACTAAATCTAAATCTT